GCTGAAAATTCTTCTTCTATTTATAGGCAGTACAGACTGACATCACTTTTACCGCAGAGGTAACTTGGGAACGGAAGAGACCAACGGGTAGACATTTAATAAGATATCAAAACAGGTACAATGAGGCTGTATGGATATTGTAAAAGTTATTAATTTTTAAGAATTAAATTAACTTTCAAGTAAGTTTAAGAATTGTTATTAACAGGTGTTCGTATATTTTGTGGGAAAACAGATAGATAGATAGATAGATAGATAGATAGATAGATAGATAGATAGATAGATAGATATTTACTAATAGAGATAGATAGATATTTACTAATAGACTGAGAGAGAGAGAGAGAGAGAGAGAGAGAGAGAGAGAGGGTAAGTCAGATAGATATTTACGGATAGGCTGAAGTAGATAGTGTAACAACTGATTCCCCCAAAGAATCATTGTCTCAACACTTCTAAAATCCACGACTTCCTCACGTCTCAGTGACCAGGTAAAAAGTGACCGTTGATCATTCAAATAAAACAAAATAGTTCATTTTTATAGACAGATTTAGAACAAATTTCTTCTGAATGCAAATGAATAACTACTTACTTTCATTTTCTTTCCCTTCCTGCTGTCACTAAATTTTCAATGTCTGATAGCGGAGACAATGCAGGTTTTAGCTTTTTCCCCTCCAGATAACCTGTTTGTTTTTGCAACAGAACTCTGTCTAATAAGAATACCCTGATAGTAGAAAAGAAAGGCGCATTTTGCAGTGAGAAAAACCAACAGTACAGGCGTTATCATTTCGCTAATGCCGTCTAACTATGAATGACCAGCGTCCAAACAAAAATCATTGCTGCTAGAGACCTATATGACACTTGAGTTCAAAAACTACAGACATTTGCCGTGAAACTGTTAATTTTAGTGTCGATTTGACTTTCTTCCAGTGACTCAGTCGGATTTTAATGGCTTTCCCCCATCCTTTTGTATTCCAGAGAAGTGTTGAAACAACATCATATATATATATATATATATATATATATATATATATGTGTGTGTGTGTGTCTGTGTGTGTGTGCGTGCGCGTATGTTTGTGTGCGTGTGTAAGTGTATTTCTATGCGTTTGTGAGTGTATTATCTTTTTGTGTATGTGCGTGTATTTTCCTACTGAGAATTCAAATATTTATATTGAAAAAAGAAATAGTCTGTGGGAGTTTTTGAACAGCCCTAATTTATTCAGAGAGATGTTTATCGAAAAATGTTTAGTAAATATTAATAAGTAAGTGATGTTTATGTTAAATGACCAATATATTTGAAATAAAATGGCCGTCATCGATTTGGAATGAAAGATAATTTTGTGTACGATTCCAAGCCATCTATCCATCAGCAGAGCTTCATTTAGTCTATTATCATGTATTTGGCTTTCATGCTGTTAGGTACTTTAAAAAGAAATAATCTAATATATGTTAACTATAAATAAAACGAATTTTCTTTTAAAAATATTATAAAGAAATGCACAACCCCAGTCGACTAGAACAAGAAAATAAAATTATCTAAAAAAAAAAAAATTTTTTAAATCTAGCCTTATAAAAAATAACGACAAACCTGGAAAATGAAAATTATAGAGAACCTATATTATTTACGAGTTCAAATAGCCCTTAAGGAACTGTGTTCCTGCAAAAACTAAACTCATAAATAATTATATCATTCATACTTTTATCTCAACGACTCACGTTACATAGCACAATTAGGACTAATCTAAACACACACGGAAACCTACTAAACGCCAACTTCAATATGCTAGCAAAAAATACAAATATATATATATCCACATGTAAAAAAAAGATGTAATAATGATTCAATAAGCATAACTATGAACACGGACACAATATGCTGACCGTGTTTAGAAAATAACACATTGAGTTAAAAATAAAAAAAAATAAACATCGCCCTTGATAATGGCTAAAAGAATAGCCGAAAGCGTTCAGATATGCAGAACTTTTGGAAGCTTTTGCACACTTTGTGTTGAGAAAAGCAAACACTTTTACGAACACAAGAACAAATAAATAAAATGTTTAAGCGCAGTAGCTTGTCAGTCGTCCATAATGAAACTTGTATAAAGAAGGATTGCTTCCCAAGCACAATATATATATATATAATATATATATATATATATATATATATATATATATATATATATATATATATATATATATTAGAGCAAAATCAAAATTTCGTAGTTGGTACATGCAATGTACCAACAAGGTGATTCAATTCCAGTTAAGTGCAGATGAGGCATCCATCGAAACTGAAGTTTTCGCCATAATCTCACTGTGTTTTCTTGTTAACGTGATCTCTTAAAGTGACATTGTGCCGCCGCCTTTCAAATGAAATATGGATCACAAGCATCAGGGAATGTTCTGTTGGAAGCGTAAACGGGGGGAGGGGCAAGGATTGCAATGGCGGACTTTCCTCGCTGTGACGGATTTGTCATTCAAGTATAAATCGGCTTTTTGCTCAGTCTTTTACCGTCCAAACAGTTTTTGTCATGTGGTCGAGATATTTCCAGCAGCGCACGATGTCCGTTCATTTCTTTCCGAAAATCTGCACATTCCTTGTTGACACTCACTCACTTTTCTCCATTTTGCGATCTCCATTCTTCTTGACGCGTGACGCGGGACGGATTTCTCAAGAACAAGCCTATCGGTTTCTTTCATTTTAATTCCATTACTTCTCCTTTTTGAACGCTAAACTTTCGATTTTTGATGAGTTTTTTTTATATACAGTTCATGCATAAATGATCGGAATTTTGCAGAGTGTTGCTATAGATTTCAGATTTTAGAAGAATATAACTCACTTCATCTCTTTTTCTTTCTTTACCAGGAGACCCGTTTAGTTTTTGATATATTTGAAAGTTGAAAAAATGGACTGACTGAAGTTAGTATGTAGATTGAACTAATATTAATTTAAGACATCAGAAATTTAATAAAACCTAGTTTATTTTTTGTTTAGAATTTATGTTGAAAAATGGGTAAAGGGAAGGATCTAAAACTTCTAAAAAAACAGAAAATAACAAGATTATTGATTGAAGGAATGTCCACATTGGAGATATCAAAGTAGCTTTGTAGAGATAATCTAACGATAAATAAGGCTGTTGAAAATATAATTTGAGAACTCGATGCAAAGGAAATTTCCTCTAACCTTAAAATAGTTGACTACCAAGATATCACCCTTAACCTTAACGATAAAACCTTTAAATCTTATCGAGAACGAAACACCCAACTATATTAATATCAGCTCTAACCACCGCAATGCAATGTTTCAACGTAAGCTGTCTTACGTGATCACCATTACTGATGGACGAAAAGTGGAATGTAGGTGTAAAAATAGGAAAAGAAAAATCACTTGGTTCAATCTCCTCCCCCCCCTTCTGCCAACTGTCAAATATCAACATCGGACAGTACTTCCTAAATTTAATTACTAAACACTTTAAGATATTCAACAGGAAGTCATTCAAAATTAGCTACTCCTGCACTGATAGTATGTACCAAATTATTAATTCCCATAACAATTACATTTTAAGTAAATTCCATAGGAAAAAAAACTAAATGTAACATGGAAACCCCCTGTAATTGTAGAATTAAAAAGAAACTGCCCAGTAGAAGGCAAATGTAGATCCACTAGATTCGTATACCAGGCAGCAATCACCCCAAAAGAAAATACGACACACCATAATATGTATATTAGCATTTCTGCAGAAGAAATTAAAAAGAGAATTAATAGATATAGACACTCATTCACCAATCCAAAATTAAAACACTAAAGAGCCCTTTCGAAAAACGTTTGAGAATTGAAGAAAAAATGTCTGAATCCTCAAATAAATTGAAAAATTCTAGGTTTCGTGAAGCCGCCCAATAGTTTTAGTGAGAGGTGCAAGCTATGTTTAGAAGAAAAAATATCAAGATCAATGCAAAGTATTAAATCAACGGAGAGAACTAATCACAAAATGTAGACATACAAATAGATTCGAAATTATATAAGAATATATGTGTATATATGTGGGGGAGTGTATGTGTGCATATAGTGGCATATATGTATGGACATGTAAATGTACATATATGTATGTATGAAGATATGTACGCATATAAGTGTGTTGGACAGTATGATTTATTCCATTCAATGATCTATTCTTACCCACAATCTATAAATCTATAATTCAACTAATTTACATAAATCTTAAGGGGCTTAAGTTTAAATCCCTCATCGCTTATTAATAATATTGGACACCTGTAGTACAAAAACTAATTACGAATCCCAGAAAAAAAAAACTTGGGCTCATATAAGAAACGCCACATTGTAGGAACTGATATTAATCTACAAACAACGAAAGTTCCTAGCCATAAATAAACTCCAATCCAGACCGCTTACCCAGGGATAAGATGACTTATGCCTTCACCAGTCGTTAACACAAGCCCATTCTCATTAACAAGGCGTCTACCAGAGAAGAACAGATATTGAAAATAAAAACAATGCTCCGAGACAGACACATAGGGGGTGAAGATAGCCACGTACACAACGGCTTGAAATAGACTAACCCCATATTGAGGTAACTGTTGTTTTTTGCTGTAAAAATATATATGCTCTGTAATAATAAATACATCGAGCTCTCTGTGAATCAGTTTTAATAATTAATATTAATAGGATGCACTTGGATTATATATATATATATATATTGGATTTGTCGTCTTAAAGAAAAATCCAAGAAAGTATTCTGATTTCTCTCTACACAATTATATCATCTTCCTCTTTCACTAATGTTTATTATCTCCAATTCAGAATTTGTTAATAAAAATAATTTCCCTTGTTTCCTAGGCACTTATTGTGATTTGCAAAATCTATTGGCTGGCTTTCTAGAAAGCGTTAGGCAGTGTGTATGTTTTTGATATCAAGCATGAATATCGACATGACACTCTTTTATGTCTTACTATAATGTCGATCTATTTAGACAAAGATTCAGTTGTACGAATTAAAAAAGAATGAAGAAAAGAAGAAAGGAAGGAAGAAAAGAACGAACGAAGAAAAGAAGGAAGAGAAATAAAAAGAGAAGACGGAATATAAATTGAGAGAAGAAACTTTTGGAAAAGATTGAGAAATCCCGAGGAAAAAGAATATTCCAAAGATATGCAAGAATTGGGAAGGGCATCTACGAAAGAAAAGAACGGATGATAGCAAAGAAGCGAATAAATATAGGTATTATCATATAGAAAGCAATAATATTTTATGTTGAGAGAAAAATATCATGAATATTTATCGAAAGAAAGAAAGAGTGAAGGAAAAGAGGAAACATTGAATAAAACAGAAGAAAAGAAGGAATGATGAACAAAGAAAAAGAATGCAATAACTACATAAATAAATAAAAGAACAACAGCATGACAAGAAAGAAAGAAAGAAAGAAAGAAAGAAAGAAAGAAAGAAAGAAAGAAAGAAAGACGTTTGAAAGGAAGGAAGGAAGGAAGGAAGGAAGGAAGGAAGGTAGGAAGGAAGGGATGAAGGAAGGAATATAAGATGATCAACCGGGAAAAAGAAATATGGTAGAATGAAAGGAAGACAGAAATAAAGGAATAACAACTTTAGAAAGCAAACAAACAAGCAAACAAACAATGAATATGTTGAAACAGAAGGAAGGAAGTAAGAGAAGAGACGTAGGTGAAGGAAGGAAGGAAGGAAGGAAGGAAGGAAGGAAGGAAGGAAGGAAGGAAGGAAGGAGGATAGAAGGAAGGATAATTAACCAATAAAACGAAATATAGAACGAAAGGATAACAGGAAATAAAATGAAAAACAGAAAGAAGAAAAGGAAAGAATGTTATTTAAAAGAAAAACGGAAAAATAAAAATGTAAAGAAAAATATGAAGAAAACACAGAAAGAAAGAAAGAAAGAAAGAAAGAAAGAAAGAAAGAAAGAAAGAAGAGGAATGAAAGATATAAATAAATTTATGGAGGAAAATAAATTGAAAGAAAACAAACGTAATCCAAGTGGAAGCTATTGAGGCGTGAGAATGCGTAGAAAAATAGAATAAATTATCTGAATCGAAAAGCCAACTAAAACCAAATTCTGAATGTTTTCAATCTCCGAGACAAGAGAATCAAATCAAGCCTCATCAATGGAAAACCAAATATCAAAACGAATCGATCAAAGAACAATCCACAAATAATATCAGTAAAATCCGACGACAAGAAACTCGATTTTCTTTCCTACTTTATATTTCTGTTTTTGGTTTTCTGTTATTGTAGGACATAAAAAATCCTCATTTGGAATTTTTTGGTTTTATTAATATCTTTTAGTAGTTCGTATTTTTTCCTGTGTGATTCCTTGTTTTGTCAATTGTAATGATATCTGGTAATGTCTGCTTACAGAAAGAAACGGTGAGATCTGCCTCAGTAAATGTAGAAGAGCGAAAGAAAAAGACGATTGGTTAGAGATGACAAAACACAAATACATTTGAGCAAATCAGCGTGAAATCGTAGACGAAACGCCAAAAGAAAATGCTGCCATTTTAACCCGGCACAGATTCTTGAAGGTGGAAAAAGAAAAGATGCTCAATTTTTTTCAGTTAAAGGATAATACAGATTCGAAGAATTTTTTAAGCATTAAGAAAGAAGTAACTTTCTGAAGTAGACTAAAATATTCTGTATTTCATCAAAGAAAGATGGATTTCTCACTTTACTGAATTTTCAAAAATGACGGCTTTCCAAGTTAAAAGATTATGCTATACCAATTTTCTTCTTTTCTATAATATTTCGCCCACGTTTCTAAATTGCGAATAATCTTCTGCACACCTGGCAAAGAGAAGCAAAAAATATCCAAACTATAGACGGCGTCCATAATTTTGACTCACATGAATCATCAACAGGAGTGTGTACAAGTAAATTAAGGTGAAGAAAATCAAAAGTGTTTAAAGTGGCACGTTTTAATATGTCGTTATATTGAATGGATAAATCCAAACGCATTATTTTCGGTAATTTAAACTGAAAAGCTAAATTAATCTCCTAATCTAAAACAATTTTTCTTAAGGAATTAAGTAACATAAAACAAACACATATTAACAATGGCTTCTGTAATTGTATTGTTGCCCATCAAAGTAGAATTCACTTATGCAATAATAATTTTCATATCACCCTGATTTCTCAAGATAAGATTGATAACAATGCCACTGATATATTCTAAAGAAAACAAATGCACCGTAATTAAAAAAACGATGATATTTGCAATAAAAATATATTAAACGTTTATAAAAACAAAATGCGCAAAAAAGATTTATTATATATGATAAAAAAATTAAACCCAGTGATGTAATTTTTCAAACAATAACTTGATATTGTTTATGAATGAATCTGTCGAATTGGCGACTGCATCTCTGTAAATAATAAATACTATGTCTTATATAGGCTGTACAACAACCGCCCATTAACGCAGACTTATGTGACATTTATCCGAATAGTCAGCAATATAATATATATATATATATATATATATATATATATATATATATATATATATATATATATATATATATATATATATATATATATATATATATATATATATATATATATATATATATATAGAGAGAGAGAGAGATATATATATGTCTGTATATATATATATATATATATATATATATATATATATATATATATATATATACTAGCTTAAAAGCCGTACTATCGAGCTGCGATTAAACTAACTTCTTTGGCTGAACAATGACACTTCAGGCATTGAGTACATATTAAATTTTAATAAACTTGAACAAGATTTTTCAGACAATTAAGTTTCCATGAAAACTGATATAATTTGCCTATTTGGAACTTATTGCAAAGCTGCATGTTAAACAACATTTTTTTCTTTTCCCATTTAGGGTCATTACAAATAACTTGTTTCCATTCCCAACTCTTGAACAACCAACATAGAGCTAGCCGTGAGAAAAGCAGAATTGCATTAGATGAAGTCCAGTTACTTTCAATGATTCTCCTTGGGATTTATTGAGTAATATTGCATAGCTCACTCTCACTGGAAATTGAAGAAAAACTCAAAAGAAGATCTGGAAGAATTAACGGGATTCTAGGAATTCTTTTCCTGAGGCAATAAGGATCTCTGCTTCCAAAAGAAGCATCTTCTAGATAAGTAACTTTGTTTTATTAGAAAGCTTTGGGGGATCCAGATTTCTCAGTAGCATAACTGGCACAATTTCTTTTAGTTCCAGCTTGTGTGATGTCATCCCAGGAGGATTCAATGATTTCCAAAACGCTACTGGATAATTCACTGTCTGCTTCAATTTCACGTGTGATTCTAACTCTCAAGTTTGTTTTCAGGCCGTGTCTTTGAGCATGGCTCTAGATATAAGAATCTTTCAGGCAAGCATTGATTTCATCAGCTGGACTTCATATTGCAATAATTGACAATGTTTGTCTAAAATCACCAGAAAGTAGCACAATGATACCTCCCTTGAATTGTAAATTCTGTCTAATGTCTTTGAGTGTTTTGTCCAGGGCCTCAAATGATCACCTGTGTGCCATGGTACGTTCATCCCAGACAATGAAGCTTTTCTCCTCCAATAACTTAGCCAAGTTGACTTCTATTTGGATGTTGCAATGGGAGTTTGAAGGCGTTGTGTGTGGTACGCCCTCCATGCAAGATAGCAGAAATTCCAGATGATGATGTTGCTAGATCTATTTTTCTTTGGAGTCACACTGCATATAGAAGAAGTTAGTTACAAAAGTTTTACCAGTACCCTCAGGTGCATCCAAAGGATAAAATTCCATCATTGTTGTTGTTGCCATCAAAGACTTTCTGATACATTTGCTGTTGTCAACAGAGCCTCATTGTTTTGAACACATTGCCACAGTTGTTCTATGTTGTATTCTGTTTCTGTCAAAATTTCTCTGTTGATATGTCCAGTTTCTCCGTTTGGTTTTGGCAGACCAAAATTGCTGAGATCTCTTTGTGTCAAGTTCATCACTTGTGTTCTGTTTCAGAGAGCTAAAATTTGCCTGTTTCAGGATTCAGTTCCAATCCTGGATTAGCAAGTCTCATTTGATTAGGAATATCCTCACTGAAAACTTCCTGATATTTTCCCAAAGCATAATTCTGTTGCAAATGCGGCAATCATAACTGAAAACAGATCCCTGACTTGTGTTGCAGAATTTGTTGCTACTCTGAAGTCATATCCCAATGATGCTCATCTCCCGGAAGGCTAAACTCGATATATGCTTGTCTTTAAGTCTTTGACAACGTCATCAATTGTTCTCAAGACTTGAAATATATTTGGACCCCTTATATGATGAAGGGGTAATCTGAAAATTAAGCATTCAAGATTTCTTGGATGGACTGTGTATCCTCTTCAGAATACATCTTCCATTTTGATTCCAAATTCAGTTGGATGAGGTTCTCCTTGCTTTCTCCACCTGAAATTTTCCAGTCTTGTAGGTATGGTATTTGTAAATTTCAGGGTACTATGTCTATTTTTTCGAATTTCTGTCCTACAATGAGTACTGCTACATTGGTAAATGGTGCATTGAATTTTCTTTCATGTCCTCAAACAGGTGCCTTTCTAAGCTCTAAGGACTAATTTCAAGTTCTTCAGTTCATCTAACTGGGTGGGGGGGTGCAGATTTAAACTCTTAAACATATGAATTTGTTTAGTGTTTTGTAAGTTCAGAATTTTGCTTAGTTTCAAATCCCGAAAGAAATCTCAGCTTGGTGATTTTCTACAAAATAGAAACTTCTGGGGTTCAGAGACTGAATACTGCCAGTCCGATGGTATACTTATCCTTGAATTCTGAATGTGGTCTGCTATCAAGGCAGAGTTGCATTGTTGTAAGCTCTAATCCTAGGATTCACGGATGGATCCAGCCAATATGACGAGTGATTCTGGTGGAGCTGGAAAGTCCTGGAGTTCGATCCTCCCATTGGAACAACAGAGGACTTTGGATTCATCCTTGAACTTCAATGCTTCACAATAGTTGCATTTATTGTTCTGCTCTCCAACAATCACAATAGGTAAGGAGTAGTCTTGATTGGCTTCATATTGAAAAAGAGTTTTTCAAGTGGGACTGAATTCTGTCTTGATCTTCTTTGCTGTACAACATTGGAAGCTCTCCTGTTTCCTGGGTGCTCTCATGATTGTGAATACTCTCATGTTGGCTACATTAGAATCTTTGCTAGATTCAGCTTGTTCATGTGTTTCTAATGCCCTTTCTCTCCTCTCGGTAAGAGCATTTGATGCTTTCCTGTATGCAGCTTGGTCCGGAGTTTGTAAGTCTTTGCATATTCCCAGCATCAGAAGCTCTCCTGGATGCCATTTGATCTGGGTTTTTCATTTGCACGAGACTTTCTATTCCTCGCTGCAGTCTTGGCTCATTTGATTGAAATCTGGTCCTCTGTTGGCGGAGATTTCTTTTCGTGAGGCATATGGCTGCCGTATGCGATTGGCAACAATAAACTACAGAAGAACTCAAAACTGATCGCTACATTTTAAGTATTGCAGTAATATTTAAGCTTACCTTTTAAAAGTCAACGATAATTCTTCTGCCACCCATTACGTTAAAGACAATTTTACGTACGTAGGTTCGATCAAAACAGCGCGATATGCACGTGTGTCCGTTTGCTAAACTTCCCTAAGTTTAGTAAATTCTTAATCAAAATGAATCCCGGGGATATGACGGAAGACCTAAGCAGATCTATTTTCATAGCACTTCAGATATACAAAATAGAAAGTGGCTTAAGGCAAGTATGAGTCTTCTCACCAGACCTATTCAGCCTATACAGCCAGGCAGTTCTGAGACAGCTGGAAATGTCTACCAAGATTTATCCTTGGCGGCCATAATCTTAACAACATAAGATACGCAGATGACACTGTGCTGATAGCAGACACGAAGAGGAATCTACAAATCATCTTACAGAAAGTAGAGAAAGCGAGCGATAAGAAAGGACTAAGCATAAACTACAAGAAAAGAGAATGCATGGTCATCATTAAAAGGATG